TCTTTGTTGTATTAGCATGACCGGCGCTATCTAAAGCAACCTTATAGATTTAGGTTTAGTTTGACGTTGTGATTGTAGGAGAATAAAAAAATCCAGAGATTGCTTCAATCTCGGATTCTATCTCGTATTCAATCCCGGACCACTGAGGTCCGGGATTGAATAGTGATTGCATCCAAGATTGAAGCCTTCGAGGGTCCGGAACTGCCTTTCATTTCGGACTTGTCCCGGTCTGGTTAGGTCCGGGATGAAGGTCGATCACGGACACGTCTCGGTCCTGTTCGGATCCGAGATGAGATGCAAATAGATAAAACTAAGTGAGATAGGAAAATCTATCATTCAAAAATAAAATATTAAAAATTAAGAAAAAAAATTAAATATCTCGGATGAATCTTAGACCAGTCTTGGTCCGAGACATGTCCCAGACAAATCTCAAAGCAAGACTGGTCCAAGACATGTCCCGGACTAAATATGCTTCGAGATTAGTCCAAGACATGTCTCGAACCAAGACAGGTCCGAGATATATTCGAGACAGTCTCGATACGTGATGCACCGAGATTGTTTACATTCAATCCCGGACCAGGTATAGATCCGGGATTGAAGTAATTACAACAATCTGATTTTTTTTCTTGTCAACAACCAAATCTAGTAGTTGAACCCATTAATGGGAAAATATTTCAATAAAGTTCAACAATTATAGAGTACAAAAGTTTGTGTAAAGGTAACATACCTAGCTTTCACAAGTGAAATTGTGGGGACAATGATTTTGGATAGTGTGGGGACAAAGAAAGATCAAACACGTTGATGCTTTGAGCGGATTTTGAAAACGTAATCTATGTGTTATACATAATCTAAAATATTAACAAGTTCAAACATATGTAAAATATGAGTTTACAGTTTGGTGAAATGGTTAGGTGGAAATCATAAATGCACATTTATTAACAATGAGGGTAAATTGGTCTTTTCCCATGAATAAAATATTTAAGGGATCATAAATAAGGGGTGGAGGGGTCACAAATTAGGTTTTTTGAAAATGGGGTCATTTATCCAATTTCAGTTATTGAAGGGGTCACAAATTCAAATTTCCCTGTTTCAAGTACGCCTTCATGGCCCTCGGTTGTTGTAGTAGAGGGTTCTCCAGTTGTATCTGCCCAGTGTTAGTGATAGATGATGCACTTGAAGGATAAATATAGATGTATTATCCTTATTGCTTCTTTTGTTGACGGTAACAACTAAATCTATCCTCTTGCGTTCGGACTTGTAGATCGGTAGAGTGATCAATCCTGGACTTGGTTTCTGCAAATGGTGAAACGTTGTATTGGAGAGGTTGATGTGTTATTATTTGTATCTGACCGACACGTGACCATTACAAAATCCATTAGGGAGGTTTTTCCAAACGAGTCCCACGGAATCTGCATGTAGCACTTGTCCACAAATTTAAAGGACAAGTTCAAGAACGAATTATTCAAGAAAATTTCATTCTAGCAGCAAAGACATTCCAGAAGTCAGAGTTTAGGTAGTATTTCTCCCAACTTGCAGGATTTCCAGAGGTCCAAAGGTACTTGGAAGGAATCGATTTTGATAAATGGACACGTGCATTTCAACCGGGATTGAGGTACGACCAAATGACATCCAACGTTGCGGAGTCCATGAATGCAGTCCTTGTATACGCACGTGCATTGCCAGTAACCGCACTTCTTGAACTCCATCACACCCATTGACCACCACGAGTTGGAGGTGAGCGATGGACTAAAAAGGGTGCGTGTGAATTTAAATACAAGGACCTGTGGATGTAAACAGTTTGACTACTTTCAGTTCCCGTGCTCCTATGCTATTGCAGCGGCAACCCTTCGGAACATGAACAGGTATACACTATGCTCACCTGCATAGTCTCCAAACTCTAATTACTGCATATGCCGAACCTGTGTACCCTCGACGATGTAGAAGACTGGATTTTACCTAAGGAATTTGTGGAGTTCAAAGGGAGTCACCCAAACTTGTAAAATGTGTTGGCCGTCGTCAAACTGTACGAATACCGTCCGATGGGGAGACCCGCCAAGTCCATAAATGTGGTCGATGTGGCAACATGGGACACAATAGAAAAACGTGTCGCCATCCACTTAGAACTACTGGACCAGACGCCGATGGTGGGCAAAACGTTGTACTCCACTTATAACTATAATCGTGCTTTATTTGCTTATTCAGCACTTTAGTCATTCAATATTCAGTAAAATTTGTTATGGCTGTCTATGATAGAAAATGCTTTCTGGAATATTTCACGGGTGTCAACGGACGAACTCATGGTCGAGATTCCTCATACAGCTAAAATTTCAGAAATTTTCCTAGCCATGAATTGTGTCACACACGACCGAGATTTATCTAAGCATGAATTGGTAGGTGTCAATGGACGAATTCATGTGCTTTCTGTAAAATTTCACGGTCGGGAGTTTAATATATTTCAACCATGAATTGGTCTTAGACTATCCCAAATGCTTAGTGTCACTGATTTCAATCCACTCGTATTCAAACATGTATCCTAATCACAAATATGTGTTAGTTTGAAGTCCCAAACTACCATTAAGCAGTCAACACTATCATTCATCAAACATGTTAAGAGATTAAAACATCAACGTTCGAACGTACCAAACAAAACGCACTAATTAGGTAAGTCATTACAACACCAAAACATCAGAATATGGATTTGTTCGCCCATAGCTATACTGCGAACTGCTGCCTAAAGAATAACATCCTATCCTGTGTCAAGGTATCTAATCTAGAATCCATCATATCGTATTCAAAGAACTTTACACAAAATATATCACAATCTCCATCTCCCTCCTACTGTGGTACGGATGAAACTCTATGTATGCGTCATGGTGTGATTGGGATTTCAGGCCTCTTTAACCGAACACCCGCCCTGCAAATAAGAGCTGGTATGATCATTCGCATTGGCTTCAACTCATCTTCTAAATTCGGCAACGGTGTCACGGCCATGAATGAGTCCCATGGGAAACCGTATAGACTATACGTCTTTCTCAATCCCCCATCTTTCGCCTTTCTGACTAGGGCTCGGTTAAGACTTTTTATGGTCTTCTCGAAAGCCATCCCAACCCAATCGTAGTTACAACATACTTCTAAGTCGTCAACAACACCTAATAGGCTCGTGTCGAATTTCAAAGTCCTCTCCCTACCAAACAACATGAGCTCCACAAAAAATGTCATTGACACATTCACCGCATTCAAGTCATTTTCAAACTGCAATTGCATGTACTTCGTCCTCCAGCTCACTTAGTTAAATGTCAACTTTGTCATCGAAGTACAACGTCCTAAGCCTAACGGGGTAAGTGTTCTTGTGAATTGGCCGCCTACTATACTTTAGGCCCATGATCAATTGAAATTCGCTCAACCCAAAGGATACCCTATTACCAAGCACATCCATGGTAATAACATCGTGTCTACTATCGTCCACTTCCCTAATCAATAGATTGTGTATAAGTGGTCCGTTAAGTACAAGGTCCACATATAGAAAATGACCAAAAATGATCTTCCTAAACATACTAAGTTGTCTACGTGTTAGTTTACTCTTAATCGACTTCACTGTACTCCCTAAGTGGGATATGCAGGTCAGATTGGCAGAGCGATAACTAGAAGAGGGGATCTTAGGTACCATTGCCATCCCATAAACTTGAGAAACAGTAAGAATACATACATATAAGCTAACCACAAATACATATGGCACACAAAACAACAAACAACATAAAAAATATGCATAAAACTGTTAAAATTCTCGGTCCAACCACGGCTGTTATCGGGTTCGAATTATAGGTCCAACCATGACAATCTTCACGAGAATTGCAATTCTGTGAAAATTACGGTCACGTTCACGGCCATGGTCTTGACCGTGAGTTGTGACAAAATTGCAATTCCCATTGAGCCTCGATCAGGATTGTGATCTTTTCATAAATCACGGTCTACCTCGGTCGTTAGCGTGACTGTGAATTATTACAGAACTCAGTTTTATTCCATTGCAATCCACGGTCGCACCACGCCCGAGTTTGGGCCAAAARTTCACGAAATAGTCCTCGACCTCACCCTACCTCGGGCAATAATCCTTAACCAAATCAAATTTCAAGGGCCAAAAAGCATACAAATWACATATACACAACCAATCCTACATATATGCACATAAAACGCCCAGACATACAGTAAAAACGGAATCCCTAAATATGTAAACGAACAACTAACGATGCTCGCTAATGAAATCAACCAAAAACAGTTCAGATAGTGCCGAAATTAAGCCCTACAACTGAATCCACTAAAAGCAACACAAAAAAAGGGGAGAGTGAAAATACCAAGACCAAAACAGAAACGAAACCGAAAAAAATTGCTCTTTTAACCCTAACTAACAGCGACACAAATACGAACAATATGAAATCCTAACCTTAAATAAAAAATGAGATGAGATTCAGAGCAAAAAACACCCAGAACTATGTAGGCAATGAAAAAGTCTGCAATATGGAACAAATGGAAACGAGGGAAACCGAAAGCGCAAGAAATTGAAGTGTGGAAGATGAAAAGGATACCAACGGTTAGAATTTAAATGGGGGGTATAACTGTAAATTCCATTTCACGGCCATGATTTTGAATTTCCCRACCGTGGTGTGCCCCCGTCAACCACGCCGATGAACAATGCTTCAATAAATTCCAGGGCATTGTTTGTTCGTGTTTCGTTGACACACTCCTCCGACATGTTTTACACGCAATATCGAGGCTAAAATCRTCATTTCAACCTACATTATTTAATTGAATAAAGTAAATTGGGTCAAAAAAGTTAAAAATTAGATTTTAGGTCGTTTAAGCAAATTGAAAATTATTTTAAGTCGTATCTGTCCATTTCCCCAACCAAGCATAAGTATTTTGGTTGAAAAATTTCAGACCATCCGGTCAACATGGAGTGAGAGTGTGATGGAATAGTGAAAGATGTCGTTCCAACCACGTCAACAATACCGCGACGGCGTGTGGCATTTTCTGACCACACATGCAAAGCCAAAATCTTTCGTTCCAACGCCCACCATTTCCAGTTTGGTTCTTCAATTCGCGCTGTGGCCGCTCGTAGCAGCGTGCGTATTTCTTCTTCTTCTTCCCATGTAACGCATTCCCACTCCAAACAAATTTATCAGATGTCCTCCTCAATCTGCTCGTCAATTCGGGCATTGCCGCCGCACCACGGGCGCCCCAACAACTCCAGATTCGCATTGTTTCAATCCAAGAGATGTTTATGCTTCGCGCCTCGCTTCGTTGCTTGCTTGACCAATGACGACTCTGTTGCAATCCCCAAACCCTCGCCGGTACTCATTCTCTCCAACTTTGTTTTCGCATTTCACCTCTTTTTGTTTGCTTCTTCTGGTTTTCATTTTCTATCGCAGCTGGCCTTCGATCCTTCGGAGGAGTTGTACGGACTTGGCGTCGATTTAAACCCAAGGTTTAGTATCTGGTATTCAGTTACGCTACTATTGGGCGTTAATCCTTTGTGATTTGAATTCAGAACTTAGAAATTTATTGTGCATKTCAGGAATTCAGCTTCCAGCGCACCTGAACCCAGGTCCTGGTTTGGYCCGAATGGTCAGTATATTAAAGAACTACCTTGCCCAAGTTGCCGAGGTAGGGGCTATGCGCCGTGTACGGAATGTGGAATTGAAAGATCCCGAGCAGACTGTTCCGTGTGTAATGGGAAGGTATATGCTCTAGCAGACTAATCTGAACTATGTGGTTGATATTTAGTCAACTTCTCGTTTTCTGCTCGCACAAAACACCATAGTGATGGAATTTAACATGTAAAATAAGGGTGCCCAAGGATACAGACCTCTTTAAGACTGAACTTAGATGGCCTAATGAKCAAMCTCTTKAATGTATAGTAACAGATGGTTGTCGGAAGATTTCTAGGACCTGAAATACTCGTCAAAACTGTTTAATCYAGTAGCAYTTGCTCTTGGATTTGGGAATAATCATAAAGCATGGAGRTGTTGGTTGTTCTGCCGGTTTCTATTYRTTTGTTTAYCKTTACCTCATGTTGTCAGGGTATAGTGACCTGCCACCAATGCTTGGGAGATCGTGTCATATGGGAAGAGTCCATTGATGAACAACCATGGGAGAAAGCACGCTCCACGTACTAGCACCATTCTCTTTCTCTTATTCCTATTCATTTTATTTTTGTGTTAGTTTTTGTTGGATACTAGCTTTTAGGCAGTGCAAGAGTCCGGCTAAGGGAAAGTAGATTCTGGCATTATTATTTACTCTACTGGGAGAAATAATCATGGGTGGTAATCATGCCTTTTTGCTATTATTAAATCCAAAACCAAAAAACTTGATTATTGTGAATCATTCTCTAGTCTCAACTAGAGCATCTATTTCCCAAAAAGAAGTTGGAAACTCTGTTCCAGATTCTTAGAATTGATCAGAAGGTTGTTTGGTTGAATTCAATAAGAATTTAGGGAAGTATTAATTATATTTCTTTCTTTCTTGGTTTTTCTTTTCTTTTTATTTAAAAAAAGAAAAAGAAAAGAATAAAACGTATATAGATATTTAAAAAGTAAGCATGGAAGTACTTTATGGATATTTGAAAAGGTGCAAGGGAGACATTTTAGAACAATCTTGATGAGGGTTTAGGTTTTAGAATYAGTCTTGATGAGAGTTAAGGTTTGTAGAATCAATTTCCATCCTGGTGTTGAATTGAGTRTGAATCATGGATTTAAAATGAAGAAAAGTAGCATAAATTTGTTCTTAATATGCAGTGTAGAGCAATGATAATCTAGGAAAGTTATCTATATAAAGGACAAAGTATTTGACACTTGTGGTGTTATTGAGGTGAATACCTCTTGCCTTCAGAACCTAGTGCACCTTCATTGAGGCGCACAACACTATTGTCGTTGCCACGGACCTAATGTTCATGGAAACAACACGATGTCAGCTTATGCAATGCCTATATATTCTATGAAGAATAAATAAAGTAAGAACGTAGTTTAAGAAAAAAAGACCACATAATAACTTTAACTTGCTATTTTAAGTTCCCATTTGAAGTGGTTCACACATGCCTCCATTCCTCTATGAATATTGAAACAACTAAAGAAGGTAAAACATTTTCCTATGGGAGCTTAGACACTCTTGCATGATAACTCTTGACAGACTCCAAAGAAGGTTCCCATGGTTGGTTATTTCTCCGAATTGGTATTCCATTTGTAAAAAAACATTCTGAATCACAAAGTCACATTTCCATCACTTGCYCCTTTTTTGCTGAGACTTTTTGGGGGCATATCCGTTCCTCCTTCAACTGGCTTTCTCCCAAAGGACTGTCACTGCATGCTTTCCTTGATAATGCGTGATTGRAGATCCATTCTTAAGTAGTTTTTGGGAGGGGATCCCTCTTCCCTCTTCCCCCCTGCCCTTTTGTTCTTTTAATCTAAGGTTTGGATAAGAAACTGAGAAATTATATGAAAAAACCAAGACAACCAAAGGGATAAACCAAGAAAAGTTTCTTTCTTTTARAAAAAGAAAAGACATAGTTTATGAGTACCCTATTTCCCAGTTCCTACTAATGTTCCTCAAGTATGTATTCAGTACACTTACTGAATTTCCATACTATGCAATCTCRGTTCTACTTGCTTRATGTTCTAATTTCAGATAAATCTTAGTGGTTTTGGATACCTAAGTTTTTTCATGTGTTTATATCATATCAGTTCTCCATTAAGAATGAAGGAAGATGATGAAGTTGATAACYTGGAAATAAAGCTGGAAGAAAAGAAGAAATCAAAGCGTGTATACCAATCACCTTCTCCTGAAGTTGGATTAAAGATCAGTCGATCATTAAAMGTTTGTTCTCTACCTYCCCTTAATGTGACCTGTTAGRTATTTCATGCATGCTGCGCTGTTGGAAAGATAACCTAAAGAACTATGGATGAACATATGCACGCTGACATCCWTCAGTATCAAACATAGAAGAAGCATATACTGTCAGCTCTTCAGTTGATGTTGAGGATACAGTCAATAATATGATTTTAATTATGAGATTTTGGAGAAATATCAGCTCTCCAAATGTACTTGTTTGCTATTTGCCAATTCATGAATTTAATCTTTGTTGTTTAGTTGAATGATTGCAGAGTCTCAATGCCAAAACAGGTCTATTTAGCAAGAGAATGAAGATTATCCATCGTGACCCCACTCTTCATGCCCAGAGAGTTGCTGCAATTAAARTATGTTCTTGAGATCATTTGTCTTCTAGCATTCTGTTTTTGAATATTGTAACAACCCCAAGCACCCAAAGGGCAGCCTAGTTGACAAGAGCTTGGAGTCTCTTGGTCATACTGGCTCAGAGGTCTCAGGTTCAAATCTTCTGGTGAGCTTAATTACCAAAAACTCTTGATGTCTTCTGGGTCTGGGCCTCGGGGCGGGTGCGAGCGCCCTTGGGTGTTGTGGAGCAAAGCTTCGATTCCCAGTTATCAAAAAAGAAAAAAAAGAAAAAAAAATATATATTGTAACAACCCCACTTTTTCAACCTATTAGTTAGGTTTAATTACTAATACGTAGTAATCTGAAGTACAGTGGTAAATTTAATAAAATAAAATAACTGGTAACTCATTAATTTAGACATTTCTATATTAATAGAAGTTTTGTGAATATTTAACTGTTTGAGAAAACAATGTGACTGAAATGTAATTGGAGTCATCTGTAGTGACCCACCTAAGAATAGGCTTGAGACAAGGAAAACACCTTTCCCCTTTCCTCTTCTTGTTCGGGTGGATATTTTAAGAGTAGAGTCATTTGGAGAGGCGTGGAAAGTTAGTATTCTTGAGGGGTTTTGAATTGGGAAGGATAACTTGAGTGTGTCCTATCTTAGTTTGATGATGATACGATATTCCTGTGTTCGTGTATGGAAGAGTCTGTGAGGCCCCCCATTGTAAATACCTATGTAAGGAGGGCTAGAGAGGGAAATTCCTCCCCAAAGGACAGTTAGGAAAGGGGCTGTACGGGGAGGTTGGTTATAAGATAGAGGCTTAGCTTGTTTTGGGGATGTTTTTTCATTTTGTAAGTCTTGGACTTAGGAAGGAGAGCTCCAGACCTCTCGAACGGCTGAGAACTTGGTTTGCCCTAGGGCTGTAAGTTTGTTTTGTGTTGAACACTTTTGAATATCAAATTGTAAGGAGATACCTTACAGAGTCTTTTGTTAATCCAAATCACATTTTGGCTTTTTTCAGTCCATATCTGGTCTGAAAATTAACAGAGACAAGTGTCTTATGTTAGGCATTAACTATGACCCCTCTAAGCTGAATAGGTGGGCCTCCTCAGCAGGTTGTGGGGTAGGCTCTTTTACTTCTTCTTATATAGGTCTTCCTTCATCTTGGTCATAATTTCATAAGTTTGTCTCTTTGGGATCCAATTGTGGAAAAGATTCAGAAATGTTTCTCTTCTTGAAAGAGAAGCGACTCTTATTTAGTTTGTTCCGAGTGGGATTTCAATTTTTTTCCTTTATCTGTTTTGGTCTATGTCAGTCAGGAAATAGTAAAATCCTGGAAAAGTTTATGAAATATTTCCTTTGGAAAGTTTATGAAATATTTCCTTTGGGCTGGGGTGGATGAGGGGAAGGGCTCTCATTTAGTCAAGTGGGAGGTTGTGGTCAAATTGGTGGATTTTGGGGGTCTAGGCATTGGTAATCAGAGGCGCAAAACGAGGCTTTATTGGCTAAGTGGTTATGGCGCTTTCCTCGGGAGTTTGACACACATTATGGCATGGGTCATTGTGAGCAAATATGGTCGGACAGGGTTCAATTGGGACTTCCAGAAATTCGTGGAAAGCTATTTCTGTGGGGTTTCCTTTCTTCTCTTAGTTTGTTCTGTGTTTTGTGGGAGATGGGTTGGATACTTATTTTTGGGAAGTTAGGTGGTTGGGGGATAGAACCCCTTTGCTCCTTGTTTCCTTGTTTATTTGTTTATTATTATTATTATTATTTTTTATTTTGAGAAGAAACAGATAAATATATTGATTCAAAAAGGTGTTTACAAAAAGGCTTTAGAGAGAAGATACCAAGAAGAGAAATGAAGCTTGATCATATCCAAAAGATTTTCTGTACACAACTCTCCCCGTTGAAAATCCTTTGACTCCTTTCATGCTTAAGCAAACCATAAGTGCCGGATAATAGTCATCACCACATTTTTTTTTCACAGGATACTAGCATGATTATTAAGGAAAGCACCAACCCGCCCCCAAAGGTGTTGAGAAACTTTGCCCAAAGACCAAGAGCATACGGGCACTGGTAGAATAAGTAGCCATGACTTTCAAGGCTCTTATTGCAAAGAATGCACCAGCTGGGGAAGAAATATCACTAGTATTAGCTTGTCTTGCGCCAAGATTCAGATAAAAACCTTGACTTTCTTGTGCACTTTGGATTTCCATATGCATTGGCATCCTATGGTGGCTCTTGGCTGGGTTTAAGGCACTATTTTTGGCTGACAAATTCAAAGTGGCTGACTTCACGGTAGAGCAACCATCACTTTGAAGAGACCAAACTTTGGAGTCCTCTTGCACAAGGAGATTACACATCTACAAAGTAGGCTAGAAAGGTGGCACCATTCGCTAGCTTCATTGTCCGTGAGATTTCTTCTAAGTTTCAAATCCCATCCTTTAATGCCCTCATTCCAAAATGACTGAATCAAGAAGTTATTAGAGTTAACAACCTCGAAGAGTCTTGGCAAAGTTGTTTTAAGGGGGCCACTTCCAATCCAATGATCTTCCCAAAAGCGGATTCTCTCCTTTACCTACTTTGGGTATATATCATTTTCCCACAAGAAGGTAGCATTTTTCTATAGCTCCCCAAGGACCTCTGAAACGGCAGTAGGACGAAACAGGGGAGAGACTCCAGCCACTGACAACCATTTCCCTCCGTAGGGTGGGTGGGGTTCTCAAGAATCTCCATCATACAGGTAACAAGTTTTTGGTATTAGATAGCAAACTTACACCTGAAGGCATATAAGCAGATCTTGGTATTAGATAGCAAACTTACACCCGAAGGCATACAAGCAACCCGCCAATTTGAGAGTGCTGGGAGTCACTCCTACAATAGCCTCAAACTATTCAGCAAAATAAAACCTACCTCACAAGGGAGTGCCCACAGGTTTATATCACTCCCTCTCCCCCCTACAAACATCCATACTCATACTCTAACTAACTTTGGGGAAGTTCCCACTCTACCCCTCCTAGTGTAGGTATTAACAATTTGGTGGGAAGTTCCTACTCTGCCCCTCCTTCTACAGGTATTCACCACCGGAGGTCTCACATCACCCCCTAATTCTAGAAGCACCTTGTCCCAAGGTGCGTTTCAGGAAAGTGTTTTTTTTTTTAACAAGATACAAACTTTTCATTGATAAATGAAAACAAAATTGTTCAAAGATACAAACTCCCAAGGAGTGAACAAAAAGAAATTATTAAGATAAGAGGAAAAAAACCATGAACATGAAGAAACCTTATTAAAAGGGAGTTATAAAAGCCTCCCAATTCATACAAAGCATTCTAGGAGAATAAGAAGAGAAGAGATCGGAACGAACACACCATTATGAGGTTTTAAATTTGGCTATTGAGAAACACTCTATTGGAGAACGATTCTTGCCTCCAAAGACCAGCTGATTTCTTTCCAACCACAATTCGAAAGGAGAGCTTTTATCCCAAAAGCCCAAAGAAGATTGGTTTTAGAGCTTGCTCGCAAACCAATGAGAAGCTGTAATATAATTTGAGACACCTCCAGATCCCACACCCATGAAACTTCAAACATTGAAAGGAATTTCTTCCAACAAATCTCCACATAGCTACATGAAAAAAAGATTTGTCTTTGGGTTTCTCCACTTGGCTTGCGCATTAAACAAATCAATGGCTGCATCAAAGTATCGGGCATTTTCTTTTGTAACGTCTCTATAGTGTTAACTTTGCCCCCGAGAAGAATCCAGACTAGAAAATTAACTCTTTTTGGACAAAAAGAGCTCCATAAGATAGATAAAACTTCCTTAGGAATATTAGAGATCGAGTGCCCGGACTTACTCAACGAACGAACGGAAAAGATGCTCGAAGCTTCCAAACTCCATACCTGATGATCTTCTGAATCATTGAGGGAAATAGAAGAGAGTAAGGATAAAAGATTCGCCAGTTCAATGACTTCCTCATTCTTCAATGAAAGCTGAGTAGGTAGCCTCCAAGAAGAACCAATGCTATCCCAAGCATACGCTACAGCAATGAGAAGATCACAAGAGATCCTAAAGATTGCTGGAAATCTATCTTTAAGCAAAACATCTCCCACCCAAAGTTGATTCCAAAACAAACTCCTTTTACCGTTCCCAACTTTTAAATGGGAGAAAGAATCCACTTGCTTACAAGCTTTGGAAATGTTCAGAAGAGATCCTAAAGATTGCTGGAAATCTATCTTTAAGCAAAACATCTCCCACCCAAAGATGATGCCAAAACAAACTCCTTTTACCATTCCCAACTTTTAAATGGGAGAAAGAATCCACTTGCTTCCAAGCTTTGGAAATGTTCCTCCAAGGACTTTTACCTGAACCTGCCAACTTAGGCAAAGTGCACCAGCCGCCAAAATCAGTACCATGAATACTAGCCACCGCCAACCTCCATAAACTTGAGGATTCTACACTGAAACGCCACCCCCACTTTGCAAGCAAAGCTCTATTTCTTTTAGCAAAGTTCCCAATGCCAAGGCCTCCTTCCTCACGATCTAAAGAGGTTATGTCCCACCTCACTAGATGATTTACTGAACCTTTCGAAGAATCTCCCCAAAGAAAGGAACGAACGCTTTTCTCCATCTGCTTGCAAATTCGCATAGGAACCTTGAAGAGAGAAAAGTAATATAATGGAAGATGTTCAAGAACCGATTGACAAAGAGTCAATCTTCCATCCCTCGATAATTGGTACCTCTTCCATCGATCTAACTTCTTCATGATCTTGTCTTGAATAGGGCTCCAAAAATTGTCATGCTTTGGATTATCCCCTAATGGCATTCCCAGACAATACAACGGAAGCTTTTCTGCTTTGCAACAAAACCTAGATACCATATGCTGAATTTGTTGGGTATTCAAGTCCACTTAGAGAAGACTTCTCCCAATTAACCTTCAAGCCCGAAAGCCGTTCAAAAGCTTTAATTGTGTCAAACAATACAGCCAACATATCATCATCATCTTTGCAAAACAAGAGTGTATCATCAGCAAATTGCAAATGTGAAATATGCAACAAATTC